AATAAGAATATCATAATACTGTAAGAAGAAAACCTTTTCAATATTATTTTAAACTTTTGTGATTTGTAAACACTAAAAACATCGTCATCCAAAATCTTAGATTGCCCCTAGTTACCGTGTCTTCCGAGTGTGCGCAGTGCGTTTCTCCGCAGTGTCTCTTAACACAAGATATGGCGTACATTATGAACAAACGTTATTTTAGTGGCATAGTTGAGTGAACTTCGCAACTAACGTTGACCATATATCATTTGATTTATTGACGTCATATGGAAGACGAGTGTCATCAATATACACAAATAAAATAGGTTAAAAATTTTAAGTATTATTTGCCCTGTCAAATACTTGAATTAAGTACAAAAAATCGCTTTCTCCGCAAACAATAATCAAAATTGAATGGTATGAACTGCATCTATTTATTCTAAGTTAACGTAACTACTGAAGGCACATACATTTATATATATCTATGAAAGATAATTACAACTGTTGCCTTTTCAAATGATCACCTGCTCTTCATTTGCCGACCTGTGATATATAACCGGTCGCGACATGAGATTACTCAATAAATTTTATAACATTTTGCTTTCATATCCATCTTTAGTCTAAGTAGAAATATATTTCCCAAAATCAATTTTATTAGCACAAAAACTCCCAGTCGTATATGCGGCTCTTTACTGTTTTTTCGATTTTTGAGTGTACAGTTGACTGAACTGCGCAACAGACTTTAAGCACTCATCGTTTAATTTGTGAAATTCGCCAATGCAAACTAAACTCTTTTCCTTCTGATAGCACGTTTGATGTAAAAACTTAAGGTCGCTTATTTTCGCTATTATTGTTATTCAGAAATAAAAAAATACCTTGCTTTTAAATAATTTTGTTTAAGATGCATTAAGCTGTCTATGAGCAACGTGTTTTCACAGTTTTAGATGCGAATACGTATGTATTCTTTAATATTGGAACGCAGTCACGTGGCAAAACTCATGTCATGACTAGGATTGAATTTTTTTTTCACTCGAAGGCGATGGCGATCAAAGTCTTCCTTATTACTGTCGTCTTTTTCAGTATTTTGTGTTACTTAAGTTGCATCGTGAGTGCCTGCTATGACTCTGCGAACTGCTTGTCGTTCGAAGCGTGCTGTAGTTTCAAGTGTGTGAAGGGAACGAATTGTCTTGGCCGCAAGTGTATCATCGATAGCGAATGCGGTGGGCCTCAAGAAAAGTGTTGTAACGATGTGTGCGTCAAGGGTACGAGTTGTCTTGGCCGTCGGTGTTTAACTGATGAGAGATGCAGTAGTCACGAAAAATGTTGCAACAGCGTTTGCGTGAAGGGAAAAACTTGCCCTAGCCTAATCCACAAGTGCAATATCGATCAGGACTGCGGTGGGCCTCAAGAAAAATGCTGCTCTCACAAATGCAGTAACTCAAGTTGCGCCATAAAATACTGCGATGACGCCGGGGAATGCTCGTCGACAGAAACATGTTGTAATTTCAAGTGCGTAAAGGGAACGAATTGTCTTGGCCGTAAGTGTGTCATCGACAAAGATTGTTTGCCTCAAGAAAAATGCTGCGTTGATAAATGTGCTGACAGAAAATCAAGCAATCCTTGCCTTGATCCTGTGTTCATATTTTTAATTGTACTTGCCGTGGTAT